GAAGCATATATTTTCAATGATAAGGTAGTGATGGAAGTGATTTCTCAGATACCACAGTATCAATATTTGATAGGTTGGAAGGTGTGGAGTCATCATAATGAGGTAATCGGGACATTGGATCGTTGAAGGTAGAATATACCACTCGAAAATTTTTAAAGGCCGTGTCAACGTTAATGATTGTTAGTCGTTCGAGACTTCTTAAAGGTTGAGCCAACCAATAAGGATCTCAATGACTCACCCTCGTAGGAGATAAGTTGAAGATCATTATGTTGTTCAGAACAAGAATCGTTTCTCCATCAAGGTGTCGTGCTTTACAATACGATTGTAACAGCTCCTCGAGCTTCCGCTTCTATAAATAGAGACTTCCGCAAAACTATTTAGATTCATGAAACTATCCTCATACTGAGTATAGATTGGACCAAGACAGACTTTCAGAGTCTTTTTCCTCTCTTTGTTCAAGGTTCCCTCGTTCGTCGACCTCATCCAAGTCCGAGCTTCAATGAATTGGTCATTTTTGTGATCAAACAAGTAGGAGATTTGAATTCTCAACCCTACATATTTGTTGAACTAAAAAAAGTTATCCATCGTACATATGTTCGTGAATTACATTACTCGGGATAATATGAGAACATGATTTCAAGTAAATTCAGACATTTGGTAGCACGAGGGCTACACAAACAAGTTAGTTAATGCTAGAGATGTACTAGACCCAAAATTAAAGGTTTAAAAATATATTAAAAACTTTTTAAAAGACCAAGCTAACAAGGACTTGGTAAAAAAAATTTTAAAGTACTAACTTTATTATATATAATCCTAAAACTTTATGACCAAATTTGTAAATTAACCTATTTATTTATTTTATATTATAAGCTTAGAAAACTGAAGTGGCTACTAGTTTTTAAATTGTCTTGGTTTGAAACTTAATAGTTAGGTAGCATGAGTCTATCTCGTTGTCTTTAGGATAATAAAATATATTATCGACGATGCCTCAAGCTCTACTAGCTAAATAATTGTTAAAACATCAAAGTGAGTCGATGTAAGTATGATAAGGTGAGGTTGAGAAGTCACCAAGCTAGATGCATTGTAGCTCGACTAGGTGAGACTAAAAATCATCGACGATGTGAGTTATAATCTACATCAGAAGTTTACCAAAATGGGTCATGACTCGACCAAGAGAGACTAAAAGCTACCCCTAGCTCAAGTAAATGACAAAGGTGAAACTGGAAGTTATTTAGTCTGAATGGGTTGTATCCCAATAGTCGAAACAAGGTTGATAGGACACAAGGCTTGAGTAGATCATATCCGATCTCATTCAACCCCAATATATGACATGAGTATGAAAAGTGTAATCAATGGGTGTCCCAATAATTTACATTGATTTGCCCTATCACATTCTCATGACGACAGCTTAGGCCATTTATAGTCTCGCTAAGCTATTAGCAATACCCTAGCTCAAATCATGTAATGGGCAACTACAACGACCTATGTACCACCATATACCAGACTACTACTTAGATAATCATAATTTTCGTTTCTCTTGGTCAATCACAAATTATCACTCATAATAATATATCAAAATTTGATGAATATCTTTAAATTAAATTAATGATATAAAAATTTGATAGGTATCCTATAGTCCACATAAGCTAGTGTAATAAAATCGTGTTGCTTAACCTTGGACTCAAAATCAAATTAGAAAATTATATAAATAAAGAAAAATATTTACCATTTGAAAAGGTCAAAAAGTTGGAGAATATCTAAAACTCTCAACAATCTATTTGAAAAAACAAAAGATTTGAAAGACTTTAATTGACTCTTTAGTCTTCACAAGAAATTAGCATGCCTCATAAATCTTTGTCGTTATAGTCTCATGTTTATATAGCAAGTTAAAGATATTAATTATAAATTATATGCTACAATATGGTAACTGTAAGTGTGCTAAATAGATATTCTTATTACGTGGATTAATACATATTCAATACATTTCCTATTAATAGGACACAAAACAAATGATATCTATTTGACATTCATCTTTTGTGAAATAAATTTAGAAAAAGTAATTATGTACAAGTTGTAACTATTATTAAAATAATGGATATGAATATCATATAATTTGTAGTGATCTTTTGTGAGATGGTTGTTTTCTCTTAAAAAAAATAATAATAATATTTAATAATTTGTTTTCTTCTTTTTACCTTTCGAAAATAAAAATAAATATGACATATATAGAAATTGATGCATTTTTTTTTCTTTTTTGCCAAAATATATTTGAAGTTTTTAATGTTTAGGAATAAAGAAGGAAATACATGAAATGTTTATTCTTAAATGAATGTTTGGAAATGTCAATTGGCGTTTGAACCTTTTTCTTTGATAATTTTTACGAGGTTTTCAATAAGCGAGCATAGCTATGCGATAATTGATATATATCTCCAACTAAGAAGTTATGAGTTCGATCCACTACCCTACATGTTGTACTATAATATATATATATAATATAGAGTGTTTTCCAATCAATTAATAAAGTGTATTTTGATATTACATCAACACTTTTGTGAGTTAAGTTCAATATTTTGTAATAATAAAAACTTTATTTAAGAAAAAAAAAGGTTAAATATATGTTTTAGCTCCTAATGTTTGGGTGTTTTTCATTTTAGTTCTTATTGTTTAGAAAGTTTCAATTTTTGTCCCTTATGTTTTAACACTTTTCAATTATACTCTAGTTCTTTTAGTACAACATGTGGAGGAGTTCGAACTCACGATTTTTTGGTAAAAAGTTGGTGTCTTAATTAGTTGAGCGACACCACTCTTATACTCTTATGGGTGAATGTTAATATTGGTTTATGATAAACTTATCTGGTATGATATTGAATGTGACTTGAAAAAAAATAAGAGAAAAAAATTAAGTCATTTTAAAGAGAAAATTTTAAAATTTTGTGTAATGGAGGCAAATTTTAAAATTTCTCTCTTAAATGGTGTAATATCTCGTGTAACATTTTCCCAACTCATTCATATTCATTATCATATTAGGGAAGTCTATCTTGAACTCATTTTAACATGGACATGCGGAAAGAGAATTATTAAAATTGAAGGACTAATTTAAGACTTTTTAAAATGTTAAGGATTAAATTGAAAAAATACTCCAACATTATGTACTAAAACATATGTTGTTGTGTGAAAATTAAGTTTCGTCTCGAGGTGGGTCTTTCGAAGTTTTATGATAAAATCTATAAGAGAAAACTAGCTCCGATATGGGGTTTTACCGACCACACTCCAACGCTCAAGTCAATAGATTTTGGATGTTATCGTAAGACGAGTTATCAAATCACGTGCATAGACCAAGTTGGGCCCACTTTTATAACATGCATCACTTCGTCGGAAGTCACACACATGTTTCACCACCATAAGGACGATAGTCGATAAGTTTCATCACCTCGATGTTGTCAAATAGATCTTAAGGCCCGAGGTGACGGACTTCATCGATCCTCTCCTTCTAAGGATGGATCCCACATCTCTTGCCGCGTGGCGGGTCGTCTTTTGTAACCCCAGACCAACAAATATTTAGTCTATATATACGAAGTTACAACACAAACGGAGAATAAATTTTGGTTTATTTACTCGATTACTTGTTGGATTGGTTCATAAAATTGGAGGCTGCCGACTTGCACACGCTTTGTTTTTCAACCATTTGTCAATATTTCGCATTGACGAAAAAGAAATTGAAGAAAATTTGCTCACAATTATTGACTTTATTGCTTAGACTAAAAGTCAGCGTATATGTCTTCACGTTGGTTGCTTGTTAATACCGCGTACGAACCATTTACTAATTACTCGCTCACTCTTAAAAATAAAATGTAAAAATTATTTTATTAAATCTCAATATCTCGTCAACATCAACATCTCCTATTTTTTTGTCTTTTCATTTTTTTTTCTCTCCCTATAAATCCCATCTCCTTCATTTTTCTCTCTTTTGCCACGCCTCTTGTAATTTTCTTAGATCTTACTGT